TTGACTATAATATATATCTACATTTATTTCCAGATATGCGCAGGGACGTACAGGAAATATTTAGAAGCACTCCACACGGCAAACAAGTCATGATGTTCAGCGCCACATTGTCCAAGGAGATACGCCCTGTCTGCAAAAAGTTCATGCAAGATGTAATTAACAAATCTTCCTCTTCACTTCGATCTTCGATTGCTCCTACTTCGTTGGCCCTGTATTCATACCCAGGACATACTATAAATATCGTTGACGGCGCACCCGCGGGTTAGGCTAGTTAGACAACACTTTGAAGGAGTGACACAGAATTCAATAACAAAAAAACCCTCGATGTCTTCGATTGAATGACAAGTTCTACAACTTAACGAGTTGCTGCTCCAAAGTTTTCCTCCATTTATCGGATGATCGGAGATATCTACTCATAAACGGAACTTCGTTTAAAATCGTTTCTTGAGTTGATCAAGATGGCCTTGATGCTGTTTTAAAGCAGTTTTATTTAGTTCCGATCTTCGGTGTTAAAGTCTTTTAAATTATCTGCTGAATATTGAGATTACCAAAGTTAAAATGATGTTCTGTATAGTGTTACACGAATATTGGGAATTACATCTATTGGGATGGGTTAGGAGGAGAAAGTTTCTACAATCAGGCGTAAGGGAGGGGTAGATTTTTAAATGACATAGAGCAACATTGAAAGCAGTTTCCGATTGGGTGGGGGGCTAAGAAGACTTCAAGAAAACCTGAAGACAGAAGAGCGCAAGAAAGAAGATGCAAGAGGATATATGGGGAACTGGGGTTAGCTAGGATGATATCGCTGCAATTATGTGGCCTATGTCTAAAATTTTGTTGTTCGCGTTCATCTTGTTTGTAATTGAAACAGGGTATTTTAACATTTTGGAAAAAAAAAGTTAACGAAGGTCAGTAATCGATTAATAGGAGTGAAAATGGAAGTGTTAACGCATAGTTCGATCGTGCCCACTTCTACGAAAACAAAATATAAATCAGTTTGTGTATCATGAATCATAAGCTATTTAAGTCGCGATGTTAAAAAATATGTATTTTGTGATAAATATCGGCATACGAACAATAATAGAGGCCAACTCTGGGTATATTCCGAATATGCTAAAATTTGGGAGAAGAGATTTGACATCAAATGGTCAGCGGACGTGTGACAGAACATTCATGGGTGCGCCTTCTTAGTTCTGTTGGGGTGACTGCTGAGTTTTCATTGTTGGCACTGCCTTGAGATGGAAGTCGCCGGACCGTATGTAATCAGTATGACTAAATCCGATCGACAAATTGAGAATTTAAACAGGAAGTTCTCGAGAAATCATCTAATGCATTTTATTTATAGTCTCTTGATATAATATTATTATCAAGGAAGCGGGAGAAATTGGGACATTTATAAAAAAAAAATACTTCACATTTTCACATCATTTATGTCATTTGTTAAATTTTCATTTGTAATTTTTCATTTTATATCTGAAATTTGTTTGATAATTTTTTGTTTACGTCTAATAATCAATTTTATTCGTAAATTTGGACATATTTTCAACTTCAATATTTATTGAAGTTTTTTTTTTAATATGTTACATATACAAAAATGTATTGAATCTAGAAATTATCAAGGTGTGGTTATCTGTAGGGTAAAGTAGATAATCTTGTAAAAAACATTCTTTGCGCAGCCCATGGAAGTCTATGTGGATGATGAAGCAAAACTCACATTGCATGGTCTACAGCAACATTATGTGAAACTTAAAGAAAATGAAAAGAACAAGAAGCTATTTGAATTACTTGATGTACTTGAATTTAATCAGGTTTGTCCGCAGACATCATCGATTTAATCATATTGTTATTATTTACTGTATGATTTTCCGTTATGTATTAAGCCACTGCAATTTCGTTTTTATTTCAAATTATTGTGTAGGTCGTTATCTTTGTAAAATCTGTACAAAGGTGTATGGCTTTGGCACAACTTCTAACAGAACAGAATTTTCCTGCAATCGGTATACACAGGGGTATGACTCAGGAAGAACGGTTATCGAGGTACCAACAATTTAAAGATTTTCAAAAAGTAAGCATCAAGTAGTCAACATCTAGTATGTTTTGTAATATTTTACTTCTATCTAAATAACTACAAATATTTATCATTTTAGCGAATTCTAGTAGCTACAAATTTATTTGGACGTGGTATGGATATTGAACGTGTGAACATAGTGTTCAATTACGATATGCCAGAAGATTCAGACACATACTTACATCGAGTAGCTAGAGCTGGTCGTTTTGGTACAAAGGTTAATATTTAAACGACACATTATAGTGTAATGATAGTAATATTTGTCTTAATACTTGATATTTGTAGGGGCTTGCTATCACATTAGTCAGTGATGAAAGCGATGCTAAAATATTGAACGATGTTCAAGAACGGTTTGATGTTAATATTACAGAATTACCGGATGAAATAGATTTAGCTTCATACAGTAAGTTTACTTTCCTTTAGAATTTCAGGATGTAGTTATAAAAGTTAAAACTAATTTTTTTATTACAGTTGAAGGACGATAAATATAATTCCATTTCTAAAAATAAACTTCAATAAAGTAAGTATAATTAGTTGCTTGGTTTCGTTACAGGTTTCTTTTTTCTTATATCGGTGTATCTTTTGTTACAGGCACATGAAATCTTGAACGCTATATTGTATACTTGTCATTGTGTATCCATGTTAAGTACAACATGTTTTGTATCAATTTACAATTTTCTTTTCATTGATCTGACAATACTTTATGAACAAGCAACGTAATTATTCAAATTAATTATAATTACACATTATTCTGATAATAAACAATTCACATTATAATTGTACAATAGTAGTTAACTTTTATTCTATGTTCAGTAAATGAGGAATGTGTGTATAAATAGATTTAAGAGAAAATGTTTTGTCCTCTATACTTTATGTAAATGAAATAAATACTTATCTTTTTTTATATATAACATTTAATGTTATTATTATCCTAGTTAAATAATTAAATATAATCAAACTGTAAAAATGTATTTTACTTTATCAGTACTTTATCAGTAGGTAGTTTGTTACAAAAATGCCGCATCACTTTACACGTTCGTATACCTAGTTTAAGTAAAAATTACATAAAAATAATTTTATATTGTATATGGATATTTCCGACTAAAAATATTAAAAAAATATTTAAAAAAAAATCAAATTGAAAATTTACTAGGCGAACTAAAATGATAATATAACTTTATTTGGTCCTTGCTTTATTTTGAGATTTGTTTCCCCCCTGACTACCTCCACCGCGGCCGAGAGCAGCAGGGCCTCTACCACCGCGACCAAAAGTCCCTACCAGAGAAATTGCATTATTAATATTTAATAAATTTATAATAATAAAATGTTATTATTCTATATGATTATACCTCTTCCACTACCGCGACCTCGTTGGCTTTGTCCTCTTCCTTTCATTTCCCCACGGCCCCTTGATTTCATTTGTACATCTTCTTTTACCATATCTATTACTTCATCAGGAATTCGTAAATACTTAATCGTACTGCCTCGAATATAACATTCAGGCATTCTCCAAAACTTATCACCATCCTAAATAACATGTTACATTATAAACAAATTTTCAGACAAATAATTTATGAAATACTGTATTAATTAAAGAACTGTACCCTAGATGTACATATAACCTCTCTGAGATTAATATTCATCCAACTATCGCAACTAACTAAATGTCCATTATATGTTTCTCCATTTTTCAATTCGACTAGCTGAAAAATTTAATTGAAAACATTAACATCGCTAAGTTGTACAATGTATAACAATTTCCGCGTAGAAAAATATATGCTTGATACTTACCATAGGATGATTTTGAGCTGTTCTTAATAACGACAAAGGTAACTGAAAAAAAAATAAATAAAAATTATAAAATTCTAACTTTTTGTAAAATTATTTTTCAATGTACCATTTTTTACCACTCCGATATTTATTTAAATAACGCACGATTGACATCAAAATAAACAGTTCGAAATGCTTGGTATAATCAGGATAACCAACCAAAATTTAGTTACAATATCAAGCGAAGTTTTCATGTATATCATTTCTTTTGGAAAAGTCATATACTTATATTTATAAAAAGTATATCTAACAATTATTTTTCAGATATAAATTAATAAAAATTATACGATATATTATGTATACAATGATAAACCTAAGAAATATTTTTTAAATTTCAAACAGAAAATGATATATTGATATAAGTACTGTAAATATTTTTCATACTTATAAATCTTATATTTTTATTTATTATAAAAAAGATGCTTCGCAATTGTATCGTATCAAAAATTTCATCTCTCAAACTTTTATTCACAAATAAATTCTGTCATCGAAAAGTAAGTACAAATATTCATTAACTGTTAATGATAAATATTAAATTCATAAAATATATTTCAAATTACGTGAAAATGAAAACAAATTTTTTTAGTTTATAACAAAGTACCCTTTAATGAAAATAGCTTGTATACATAATGTAGCTAATGAGCAAGAAATATTAGTGAAACAATGTGTGCAACCAGTTAATAAGTTTGTTTCAAGGACTCATACATGTGGTGAGTTAAAAATTCAAAATATAGGAGAGAATGTCCAACTCTGTGGTTGGTTAGAATATTCAAGAACCAAGAAATTTTTAATACTAAGAGATTCTTATGGCTCTGTTCAGCTCATTATACCAAAACACGTGGGTTGAAAAATATAAACTTTAATAAAATGTATATGTATGTTGAAATAAAAAACATTATCTCTCATCTTAGAGAATCGACTTACAAGAGATGGCTAAGAATCTAACTTTTGAAAGTGTACTGAGCATAAAAGGTAAGGTGTTAAAAAGACCAGATGGTCAGGAGAATAAGCATATGGAAACTGGAGATATTGAAGTAGAAGTAAAATCCTTGAAAGTTTTAAACATCGCAAAGTCAAATATGCCATTTATCATTAGAGAGTACAACAAGGCAAAAGAAGATACACAATTGAAATATAGATACATATCATTGAGATATCCTGAATTACAAAAGAATTTAAGATTACGTTCAGATGTAATAATGAAGATAAGAGAATATTTAAGTAGAGAGTGTAATTTTGTAGATATTGAAACTCCAACGTTGTTTAAAAATACTCCCGAAGTACATGTTACATATTAAAAACATAGTCCATAAGAAAAGGAATGTAAAAATTTCTAAAGCTTTTTTTTTTTAATATAGGGTGCACAAGAATTTGTAGTTCCAACAAAAATTCCAGGCCAATTTTATTCCTTAGTACAAAGTCCCCAACAATTTAAACAATTGTTAATGGTAGGGGGTTTTGATAGATACTTTCAAATTGCAAGATGTTACAGAGATGAAAAACCTAGACATGATAGACAACCTGAATTTACACAGGTATAATTTTTGGTTTGCAAATGTATATCTGTGAAATAATCTAATGCCTTGGAATATATATTACTTTATAGCTGGATATAGAGATGTCATTTGTTGATTGTGAAGGAATAATGGAATTAGTAGAAAATTTATTAGCATATTCTTGGCCTGAAGAATCAGGAGAATTAACTGTACCTTTTAAGCGTATGAAATATGAAGATGTAATGAAATTATATGGTACAGATCAACCAGATTTAAGAATACCACAACAAGTAAGATTGTAATATATCTTTAATTCAAATGTGAAAAATAATTTTAAAAATAATATTAATATTTCAGCTTTATAGATTGACAGAATTAATTGATCATTCAGTATTAGAACAAAATTTAAAAATGGAGCAAAATAAAAACCTTGAAGTTTATGCTCTAGTTTTTTCCCAAAAACATGTATGTTTTTGTGTTTTATATATATATTTTTCGTTTTTTGATTACCTTATACTTCATGCATATTTTATATACTCTAGAATTTTTTTACCACATCTATCAAAGATACTATATCTAAACTACAACACACTTATTTTCCTTCTGTGAAATTAATCCAAACAAAAATACCTAACAAATCATCAGCAATAACAAATATTATTGAAGGAAATGTGCAACAAAAATTAAATTTAAGAGAAGAAGATGTTCTGTTTTTAGCTTGTGGAGAAAAAGTTCATACGGTAATTCATTTATTAATTATATCCAATCTTCATTAATTATATTATAATACATACTAATATAATACATACTAATATTAAACAATTATTTATATTAATATCAAATTTAAAATTATAGCAATCATTGTTGGGAAAAGTACGTCTTGAATTTGCCAATTTCTTAGAAAATAAAAATCAACAAATCCGTACCAGTAAGAATGAATTATTATGGATCACTGATTTTCCTTTATTTTCATTTAATACCGAAACAAATTCGTTGGAAACTATGCACCATCCATTTACTCGACCTCATTCAGATGATTTGCAGTACCTTACAGAAAATCCATTGAAGGTATTTTTGTTAATTAATTAACAAATTTAGTAAAAAATTAAGTAAAATGCATATTCATAGGTTAGAGGATTACATTATGATTTGGTTATGAATGGTTTCGAGATCGGTGGAGGATCAATACGAATTCACGAATCAAAATTACAACAAGAAATATTTAAGATGCTAAATATAAACGAATCATCTTTAATGCACATATCTGATGCTTTAGAATCTGGTGCACCACCTCATGGTGGGATTGCTATAGGTATTTTATTTTTAATTCAAATATGGATCATACATAATAATATTACATCGTAAGAAATAAATATGAAATTACTATTTAGGATTGGATCGTTTAATATGTTTGCTCTGTAACACAAAAAATATAAAAAACGTGATAGCATTTCCAAAAACTATGACGGGACGAGATTTAATGTCAGGAGCACCAGTTCCTATTTCTGAGGAAATAAAAAAGTTGTATCATATACAAACGGTAGAAATAAAATAATAATCAAGAAGTATCTTTCATATTTTTTACTGTATCATAAAAATAATTTTATAATATAGTACGAGTGCAAAAAGTATATATTACTTTATAACATTAATTTTATAAAAAAAAATGTTAAAAAATAGAATGAAATTCAATTCCAAAGTAACGTTTATTTTATTTAAATTTATTTCATATGAATCTGTTTTATAATTTACAATATTTATGAATGTCGCGATTACTGTAACTCATAATACACCCGTTATATCGCATTTTTATTTTGGTATAAATACGACGAAAAAACAATATTTAAATAATAATATTACAAAACATAATGAAAGTAATTTTAAAATAGTAGAAGACGTGATTAATGCAGCATTCAGAAATATAAAAATTAATCATTCATTTTTACAGTTACTATGTTTGAACAAAATGTATGATTAACAGCTGTATGTATATCATAAATGGTAAATTTATTGCATGAAAAAGGGAATTACACGTATACCATATTAAGCGATGTTTGCACAGTTTTAATTACTAAAAGTACTATCGATTTACTGCATAGATGTAATCATGGTACATTAACATACGTGTTACGTAACTTTAGCAATTCGCTATTCAATATTATTATACCATTCAAAAATTTTGCAAAGTAATGGAACATGATCAATAAAGTAACATGTAAAATATACCTACAAAAGAAATGTGAAATCAATATTTCAGGGTTAACATTAATAGAAACGAGTATAGAAATAAAATGATAAGGCCAAATTTTAATGTACAAAAAAAGTGTTTTATTAGAATTTGTTTTTTTTAGTAAGATCTCACGCGTTTTATTTAGAATGATTTCAAACGAAAAATAAAAAATTTTATCTGCGCAATAAGTGATAACATTGATACGTTGAGAATTCCTTTTTACGAATTACGCTTAAAAAGATATTCACTCAACTAAAATTCCTTAACGAATACGCTGATATGTTGTTACATTTAATGTGGAAGAATTTATTGTTCTATGTTAATTATCATCACTTAGCGAACTGGAACATAGATAAAAATGATTTTGTTTCTTTTTTACGGAAAATGACTTCTTATTCAATATAAAAGTGGAAAGATATTCTCTTTTTGCATTAAGAAATACTTAAGCGCATAAGATAATGTACAAATGTCGTATCTCTTGCTTTGCACAAGGCATAATTAGAATTACAATTAGTCCACAACGTAAAGAAACTACTGAGTACACACAGTTTAGAATCCTACAATTTAAATCGCTTGTTTTGAATATCTAAAAACATTTCAATTCCATTTGTCATTTAAATGTCTCAGAAGAAATATTTGCAATTTTTTTTTGCTGATAAAATATAAACGTTAAGTGTGCGTACTCTAATCATCATTGGAAGAAGATGCAGTTATTCGGTGGAAATTTCTATTTCATATAATAACATATTCGTTTTCGTATGTTCCTAGTTCTCTAAGAATCTATAAACCATTACGTATAACAGGTGTTAATTAATCGGCTTAGCTTTTGCGCAGATTCAATTAAAAATTAGTATTAAACGTGACTACGTTTCGTCTACAAAATACGCCGACCATTATTCCGTTACGAAAACTTAACGTAGGAACTTAGAAATCTGTCAAAAACTAGAACGCTCCAAGATAAATATTTCTAAATATAGAACAATTAAATGTAGATTAATTATTTCGATAAATCATCACATTTAGTATCTTTTGTTTGCTTCTTTTTTTTTTAAGTGCATTTCAATAAAACGCTTTCTTAATTAATAAGGTTCATTCAATCGACACAATATACACTTAATCTTAACTCAATTCTAAATCCCTATGTTAAGTGGCCGCATAAATCGACGATTGTGACAGGGACGTAAATGAGATGTTGCGTGTGTAAAGACATTTATTTTTCTTCCGTTGAAATAGTTGAAAACAAAAAGAAATTAACGAACAGATCAAATTAACGAATAGCAGAAAAATTTGGTTCACACAGTATTATTTTCTTTCTCATGGACTGAGTATTCTCTTTAGAGATAATAAAAAAAAATTATATATATATAGCATTAATGAAGATTAATTTTCATAAAATGAAAGTGTTTATTTTGTCTTTACGAAGATTTTTTACAATCCTGATAAAGAAGAACCATTTATTTACGCCCCTGATCGATACTTTAAACATGAAAACAGTTTCAAGTGGACTTATAACCACTCAGAAATCTAATCGATCAATGATCAATTTCCGCTTCTCCGCATTTACGGAAGAACGTAAATCTATCAATCAGATAATATTCCGTCGTTAACTTGTCAGAATATATACAAGTTGTCGCTTTTTCCGTTTGGGAACACAGTGTTTCGCATGTTGCACAAATTGCAGAAATTCGTATTCGAGATATTCTTGGCGTGGACATTTACTCAATTATAGTTGGCAGTATGAGAGTGTTTTAATCTATATACGTGGATCAATCCGTGGTACTTTCAAGACGATTAGATTTCTTCAAGCCTATTCTTCTGTGAATTCTGTACTTCGATTTGGTTCATCAAATTCGATGTGGTTTCTTTCGTTTTCCTTTTTCTTGTTTTTTCTTTTGTCAATTACGCACAAGATACATTTTTAAATAACAATCCCGTTCTTTCAGCTTCGTATGTCTGATATAGACCGCAATCTTTGCGTACACTGTTTCGCCATTTAGAAAAATACTATTTTACAAAATGTGGCGAACTCTCAAGCATTAACGCATATGCGATGCATTTAAGAGCTCGCCGAACTCGAAGATATACAAGCGAATACATTACATACAAAGAGGCATTCATACACGCACTCATACACAGTTGTAGAATCAATACACAAATATGCAATGCAATCATACATGTTACGCATACACGTGTTTTTTTCCCGTATAGAATAGTATAACCGTCTACTCCTGCATAAGATAGGTTAAGGAAAACGTCTAGAAATTCTAGAGGACACTGTGAATATAATGATATATACATGTATGATGAAGGCAGGGCTATATAATCGAACAGAGAGAATATGCACGAGCAGTGTCGTCAACACATGGTACAAATTACACAATTTTATATAATATCTCTGACGTAGTTTTCATAATGTCTAAAGTTTTCTGTTCTGCAGTGAACAATGCCATTTCGATAATTCATTATGTATGAACTCATGTATATAACAGAACAAAATGATTATTTAACCAACACATTGTATCGTACGAAGAGGATGGATTGTCGAATTTCTTTTTTTTCTTTTTCATTTTTTTTTTTCTCCTGTAATAAAACTCGTTCATTCCAATGCACCTGTTGGCTTATTAATAAAATGCTTTATCGCGCCGATGTAAACATAAAAATTGAACAAACTACTGTGTGAAAATGATTTGACTTAACTGGATTTCCTACCATCATCGAATGTTTTCTCACCCGGCCCGCCGGTTCCACGCATGTAGATTAAAAATGATACCATATCTAGAATAATACATATACAATAACATAAGTGCCAACGTTGGCAGTATACTTTCTGAATTATTATACCTTTATCGCATGGAAGTTGTAGAAACACGAGATACCTTACTGCCGACACAAAGTGTCTGTTCAAGATTTCACATGTTTATTGCGCATAATAAATAAGCTCGACGTCCTATCGTTCTTGCGCGTAATGAGGTCGTAATAATCATTGAATTTCAAATGAACGACCGTTCGCAATGAGATTACAAAAAATATCCTTAATTTCGGACGGCCATTGGGAAATTTAATTAATCAAATCAATTTGTTGCGATGTGTTAATGCAATATGATTACAATATCTCCATGCGCGATATCAGCGACTACATTTCTTCTTCTCATTCAGCCAATTATCATGGAAATTCAATGTAATAAAATGTGAGCAAATATAAAATTTAACTTGTTTTCGAAATATTAAAGTGAACTTGTCATTCTCTTTTTCTTTTCTTTGTGCTGTACAGACATTTCAAATGAATAACTTGTCTAAAAAAAATTTCAATTAAAAAATGCATACAAATATATGACCTTCCATTAGTAGTATACTGTATGTTAATTTCTTTTTTAGTGCAGTGAATCGAAGCAATTATATAAATTACCGACTTCATTAAAACATGATTGTATCGTTCACATGTCAATTAATAATTCACAGAGTTTTTGTGATATATGATGTATCACAATTCTGTATCGTTATTACACGCAGGTACACAAAAAGGAATTACGTACACAATGTGACATATCCAAATACTAGCAATGTTTATAATATACTTTGAGAAATAAAAGAAGTGATGGTTTATCACGATTTTTAAATATTGACAAGGTATTATGATGGTCACGTTCATCGCGCCACAGAGTATATGACTATAATGATGCTAATGCTGATGATGATAATGATGATGATGATGATGATAATGGTGATGACGATGGAAAAATACATAAACAGTACATGACATACTCGAAGCAAGCCAATGAGCCAAGCGGGCCGATTTCCTGGATATTGTAATTATTTTTTCTATTTCTTGGGTTTGTTCCAACACCGGCGTCTCATACGTCGGTTAGTTAACCTTGTACATAATGTAAATGCAATTTCTGCTTATTTGAAATACCCAAGAACTATATGTTGTCGTTTCTTCCTTGAACCGATGTCATTTTCAGTTCTTTCTTGCACAAAATTAGGTAAATTCTAGCGAGCATCGGTGCTCAGCATCTGATGCACTGATTTTATGCACTTTCATCGACAGTAGGCAACCAAAACGCCATGTTAGTACAAGCAGATGCCAACATCATGTACTTGGGATTAAACTGAATACACTGAACTGGTGCAGGATGATCTCCGTTAAGCACGCAAACTTTATATCCTGTTTCAGCATTCCATACATGTACTCTACCATCTGTAGATCCACTAAATACAAACTGTGAATCAGGACTAAAGCTGGCTTCAATAGCAATTCCTTTGTTGTTTAAATAGCCAGCGAATGTTTGTAACGGTGTGCCGTGAAATGCATCAATCAAACGAATCGTACTGCCATTCGTAGAAATCAAGATTGTTTTACCATCTCTACTGAATTTCAGTCCTGTCCAGTCGCACTCTTTCTCTTGAGACAATTTAAATGTAACAAATGGCCCCTTATCGAAACTACGTAGGTCATACAGTTTTAAGAACTCCGAATTGACACCTGCTGCAAAGATAAGGCCTTCGGGATCATACGCGGCAACTGGACGTCCGGAGACATTCATAACACCGTGACAATTAGGGGAACGCAGGTCCCATAGTCTTAAGGATTTGTCTAAAGAACCAGAAAGAAACGTGTCTTCTATAGGACTGATGCATAGCGATACAACTTTCTTGCTGTGACCTGGGAAATATCTAATATACTTATTGTCGTGCAAGCTTAGGTAGCGGATGGTATCGTCGATTTTCGTACTACTGTGTATTGCAGTGTTTTTCGCATGAGTGAAATGGATCAAATCAACACCGTACTTCTTGGAATTGACTGTACGCACCTGGGTGCCTTTCTCACAGTCGTAGATAACGATCTGGTCATCCTCCGAGCAGGAGATCAGAGTATCCCCATTCGGTGAGAAATCGATGCTATTTATGCGATCGGAATTTTCACGGAAGACTTTAGCCACCTTGAAGCTCCTCACCACGTGGTCAACGAGCTTCATGGTGATGGACGGCGCGTTCTCCCTTTCGTGCCGTCCTCTTAACCTCCCCGCTTCCGCAATTTCTTTTTCTTTCTTTTTGATACAGCCAAGGCGCCGAGGCGCGAAGCTCCAGAGGAGGGGTCAGGGGTTCGGCTATGTACTACTGTTGTTCACCTCGCGGGAAAGAAAAAACCCGCGGAGAGTTCAAGAGGTCGGAGGCTCCAAAACACAGCTTCACCACCACCTTGTAATCCTTCGGACTTTCTTGATTTCCCTTTTGTCTGACTGTTCGATTTACCCGTCAACACGAAGTTAATTTCGTTTAATTTGACAAAGGGGTTCGTTCCGATGTCTTCTCTCTTTCCTGTGAACGGACGCCGTCGGCAGACAAGCGCACACCGTACGCACAAATTCTGCCAACTGTTTAGAGAAATGGATGACGAATTGCCGTGAACCGTTCTCAGGATATTGTAGATTCATACCGTGAACAGAGCTGTCAATCTGCGTTGACGTCGATCTAACGCCGTTTCTCCGAGATCGAAAGAAACTGCGATTTTGAATGTACTTGAACTCTTCATCCGATTATCAAATTGAAACACTTTCCCTTGAGCATCACGAATATAGATTACTGAATAAAGTAATAAAACAATATGCGTGAAATATTTATTAAAGAAGTATTTTCTTTAATAATTTATATTCGACTGTAATTGTAACTAGCTCAATCAAAATGCATAAAACGTAATGATTGACAAATTAGGATACAATGATTAATTTTTATGCTTCATTTATACAAGTTGAATATTGCTTAAGTGCTTTTATATTTGTTTTTATATATTTCTTTCTTTTAATAATTTCCTCGTCTTTTTTTCAAAATAAATATGTATATCGGAACAATACTTTTATTGGTAATACATACAGTAAATATTAAATATGAAATATATCTTTTTAAGATTGGTATACCTGCGTTTGAATGAATTTTAAAATATTCGTTAGAAGTTAGCTGAATGAAAAAGATGTATCACTGAAATAAAAACATATAGTACCAAGACAAAAGTATATATGGAATATTTTGTTATTTATTAAGCAACTATTTACTTTTTTCTGCAGCTTACGATTTTATATAATACAATATATTGGTACTTAAAAAATTATCAGGCATCAATAAATATTTAAATCTTAGTGTGCAATTTCACTATATAAATTATAAACATATAAAATTTACGTTATATCACAAGATAATGTTTTAATTAGAAACACGTTCTTTAATACCATCATAATAATATCCTTTTTTTTTATTTTCTTTATGCTTGATAGCAGCATAAAGACCAAAAATTCTAATGTTCCAAAATCCGTTATCAAACGACACGCTCTTTTCTTTTGTATTGGTATAAAATATTAATTTAGACTTTTGTAAAATATTTTCTACCGAGTTATCATTTTGATGTTATTAAAGCCACCATTATGCAGCAATGATGGAACAATGCTATTTCTAAATATATAAGGCTTGTTTCATTATAGTTTACTTCATACATTATCTATATTACCCTCATTTATTTATTTACTATCTTATTAAAAAAAAAACTTTCATATATGTCAAATACGTGCAGACGAAGCAAATGCAAATTCCAGTTTCAGTCGCTTTTTAATTAATAATTAAATATTTATGTATATTTCTATAGTCAAAAAACCTATATACAAGCACATTTTTGAAATTTTGAATAAAATCTATTATTTTGATTGCATTCCATGTACATTTGTAATATCAGAATATATTACATATATACACACACACATTATGTATATACAACTCGCGTATCTATCGCGGGGCAGCTTACAATACAAAAAATTAAGAATACTATAATTAGCTTTCTCGTATTCTTGCAAGACAATCGTAATTTATAAAAATTAACAGAACAATTTCAATGTTTATTGTATGGTATATTTTTTCAATATGTAAATATTAAATGCAACTTTTGTTACACCGAATTAAGCAAAGTCAATGTACATATTTGTTGAAATTACATTTTATCGTTTCTTCTTCAAAAATCATCTATTAAAAATATTATAAAACTGAATGTGAAATGATTGTGCTTAATAATGATACAATTACATTAAAATTCAATTTATAATCATATGAAAATAGGTACGTGCTATTTTGCAATTAGAATTAGAATTAGAATTAGATATAAATGTTCTTTATGTATCAAATTCAATATATTTACAACCTTCATTTCGTTCTTTCATTTGAACTATGCGTTTTATATTCTTCCTTTGTAAATTTAAGCCTAAAAACATATATTTACATCTACATGTGCTGCTGAAAAGTCAAAATTAATACTAGTTCTTATAATATATTTATTATTATAGCGTTCAATTCTATTTTACTCTGCATAAGTTTCTTATATATACTCTTTAAAATATTATGTACTCTTTTAAAATAAATGTAGCCTCAAAATATTAAAGCTTTTAATATTATTCATCAATAAAATTTTCTTTGTTTTTATATTATAAGGCTGATGGTATATTGACTGTCATTAAAATTGTATAAATTTATACATAACTCGTTCAAATGAACTGTTTCATAAATTAACAATCTTTTGGTATTTATTAAATATCATATAAATAAATATCTATATATTCGATTCACTGAATATTAGTGCAATAAATACTTTCACATAATTAGATTTATGGAATGTGAAAATGACACTTTATTTTAATCAAAATATTTTGCAATCATTAAATTAATAAAATAATTGTGTGATTATCATATATCTACATATATATCTTTTGATAGTCTTTTTTTTCGTTGTAATGAATGTAAATTAACATTCAAATCATTTCTGATAAAATAATGAATCATCAGTTTTTCTCTCATTTTCGTATAAGGGTGACACAATGTACAGTTCTATTCTCACATTTCAAAATTCATTTTTAAAAAACTATATATCATAAAAGGTAATCAAAATTTGTAATAATAGTAGTGACATCAATATATTGTATAGAAAACTAAATTAGCCAAAAATATAATTTTTGTGTTTCATTTTGCTTTGTGTAGTTATTACTTAACTATCAAATAGATCTATATAAAAAAAAGCTTCAGTTCTGGCACGCATTGCTATTTGACAAGTTTGTTAAAAGTTTATACTTCTTCTTTTATAACAATAACAACAACAATAACAAGTACGGTACTTATAATAATTGTAATGTCTTCTAATTATCGTTTTCTTTAGAAGACATCGCTAATGATTTGCTTGTAAGGAACATATATTATGGTAAAGCTTTGCATAAAGTATACTGAAAGTTATTCAAAATAAGTAGCCAATTAAAAAGTGCATATAAAAATCAAAGTCATTAGCATAATTTTAATAATTGGAGTTTATAAAGATTCTGTTACATTTTTCATATTGTTTTATTATCAGTATATTTTATCCAAATCAAACCAATTTAGAAAACTGCTGCATAGAGCAATTAGCTCTTTTATTGGTCCCTGAACCTAAAACTTGTACTTATATTTAGCACCTTGCAATTTTTGTGTTTGTTAACTTATTTGTCACAAGTTAAGAAATATAATTAAAATGAAAAAGTAATTAATACCACTTTTATATTAAAAAAGTCATTTAATTTATAAATAATATATTATTTCTTCTATACTATTTATATAACGTTCATCCATAGTATCATTATATAAATTTTAATTAAGACTGTGTATAATTTAATTTTTTAAATTAAAGTTAAAATTGAATTGTTAATTGTAATTATTATAAACTGATTCATCCAAAACTATATAAAAAAATTTGTACAGATTTATTAATGAATAACAGCTAATCTCTTTTCTTCTGACAAGAAAAAAATATTATAAATTTTACTGTAGACAAGTAATAATTAAATTGACAATATTCATTTTAAATAATATGTTATTACAAATCAATGTTTCTTATTGAATTTTAATAGCTTAAAAATTTTCGAAGGTTCAGGGAAATTGACGATTGTACTTAAACAGCAGTTTAGGCTAGTATAAATTAGCATATTAAATAATTTAAATTATATCTGCCCTTTAAAATTACACTGTTTAAATTTATGCACGAACATATGTAAGCGACAATTTTAAATTAATTTATAAATATGTATATACGTATACAAATACATAGAGTACGCATACATATAAATATGTATGATTATGTACATTTATGTATGAATTTATTTTATTTTTAACATTTGATTTCATTTCATAACCACTGGACATTGCGTTTAACTTTTTCGCTACGATGATCCTGCCCGCGAATGCGCTATCCCGGTACGGGGCAATCCTAACGCAGACGCACTTACATTTTACTACGAAAAGAACGTAACTTTTAATGCCTAGATACGTAAGGTATATTATTAATTCTTTACTCAAATTTCAACAAATTACATAAGAGATATTTGTAATAAGTAAAGAACGGAGTCTCTGGTGTGCTGTTGGAACGTTACTTTTGCACTTTTGATGTTCATATCGCCAGTCTCATAAATCTCGTAATATACAATAAAAGAGAAACGAAACAGAAGAAATCAGTAACCATGGAGCTAACAGATATATTCTGCTCTACCAACGTTAAAAATGAATGCGAAATCTAACGGGTGACTAAAGTAACCGTCAGTGCACAGCGAGCGTCAGATGTTGGGTGACTATGGTCACCGTCAATGCATAGTGAGCGTCAAACGTTCGGTGACTATATTCGTAGCGAAAAAGTTAAAACTTAAATATATTACGCGATACTTTTCATTCACAATGTACTGCAGTTTAATTATAGCTTTTTAATATTTCATAAATTATTATATAAAATGTTAAATTAATACTCTTTGCTTCAAATTTGTGCTACTTGTGTAATGATTGTGCAGTGCATAAACATAGAATTGCTTACTTTATCAGGCCAATTGTTAATTCATAATTCATAGTTACACAAACATGATTTCGTACTCACTTATGTGATGTATATACATATATATTTATATTATTGCATTTATATATATTATAAATGTGTAAACTTCAAAAGCATACTTAAGTAATACTAAATGTCTTTAATCACGCTATCTATCTTTTAGGGAAAGGCCTCGTAGTGCTAAATATAAGAAAAAAATTTGAGTATTTGGATTTAACTTTCCTTTCAGCATATTCTATTTGAAATTTTTCTCTATATTTTTCCATGAAGTTATAAATCCATGGAAAATTTCGATTTTTGTTAAATTATTTTTTTATCCATAAAAATGCATAGAACAATAAAATATATTAATTCTCAAGATCGTTTTTGTGCCCATTTCAAATCATCTGCTCTGGGTTTACAACCAGTAGCTTTTTCAATTATAGTTTCTAGAATATACCAAAACCGAAGCTGTTCTAATGGCCAATTTAACCATCCAGTAGTAATACAGAAATAAGTTTCATGTGGTGCAACATGATGCACACGGTGATGTTTCCTAGGCAATATAACTCTATATTCTTGCAACCAAACAACCCAGGAGGGCAATCCAAAATATGTATGCGACCATTTATGTATCTGGAAGAAGTCTTTTATATTGTTGCTAGTATGTTATTCTGCTGAATTCTATTACAATTTGAATAGTAGAATTCTATTACAATTTGAAAGAAGTTTATAAGGAATTTGTACTTAGGTTCTCAAATATAAAAAAGTATCTGATATATATATATATATATTTACAAATTATATTTAATTACCTGATTAGTCATTGCTACAAAAATTGCAAGTAGAAACCAATAACATGTCCAAACAAATTTTTGTTGTATCTCTGATTCTGGGAGAGTTAAGAAATCCCATGTTAATTTATAAAGGAATGGAATTGTCACCATGAAATTATCACCATTAGTTTCTATAAAATCATGCCTTGTTATGCTTGTTGGATCAATATGATGTTCTCGAAATGGTCTTAAAAAATTCTGAAAATATATACATACATATATATACACATATTAATAAATAGAAATTTGAAATACAGCAAATACACATTTATGTATACATTTCGTCATATGACTTATCTGACAATCATAGTAATTTAAATCACTTCTATGTTTATTATTATTGCCTTCTTAATTATGTGCTAAAATGAAATGATTTCAGTAAATAAAAAGTAATCCCAGTAAATAAGAAGTAATCCCAATAAAATTATAACTAAACAATTATAACTATAAATATATAGAGGCTTCAACATTTAAAAAATGTTATTAACTCAAATTATAAAAATTTGGAATCACCACTATGATTCTCAATCCTTCATATGTTCATGAAACAATGTCAATCTTAAATATATGAATGAGCATATTCTTATACAAGGATTTGCTACAATTCACCTTTCCAAGAATTGGAAGTTCTACAGAACCCCAAGTATCGGCAGCCCAATGAACTAATCCAGATCCAAAATCTGCCGTAACGATGCCACAAAACGCCGCTATCGCTATCGAGCTTAAATTTTCTAATCGTAATCTGACAAGAATAAATATTGAATTAACTATAATGAGTGTAATACAGATCCCGACACAAATGCACTCTTGTGTCCTTTTCCCTGCAATAAAAATCATCGACCATTGTCAATCGCTGAAATTTTGACAGTGAAATTTCAACAAAATGTAAAAGCCTTTGTATGCGAGAAGTATTGCAATAATAACTTCATAATTATTGTATAGATACAAAGATATGTATTGTTAGATTGCTCTTTATTTTAGTTCACAGTCAAGAATTCCAAGGCACGTCCAATATATAACTAGTATTTTGGCAAGTATTAAAATCAGAAAACATATATGTATATAATTTCATACTGAATATAATAAAATTATTAACTGATTTAATTTCGTGTATGGTATCCAAAATTTGATGTATAGTATCCAAAATTATCAGAAATATTGATAAATTTCCAAGTGTTGCCAAAAAATGTTTCAGTAGGAAAAAATTCATTATTAAAATTATTACCAGTACTATAAAGATTTGCTAATTCTTGAGCACCCTTGTGATTGGGACCCCATCTTGGTACGGTTCTGTCCTCTTGTGAAGTTGAGACCACCGAATTGGCATTGGGATCGTCCTCGAGCATTGAATTCTCGTAGATTTGCCGTTCAGTTTTCACTGGCGCCAAAAAATTCGTAGCCATCGAGCACGCAGCTGATGCTGCTTGGCCTAAGTTTGCCACTTTTATCTCATCCATACTTATTATAGTAATTATTTTGAATATTCGTTGAATAATGTAAATTCTAAATGTGTCTTTTTTTCCTTTTTTTTTTTTTACGAGTCCTTCTTTCGTAGTGATTGCGCGTATTTCGACATTGCGAGGTCTTTTTTATTCGATTACGAAAAAGGCAGCGATGCGTTTCTATATATTCTTACAAACAATTTATATTCTATCGAGTAAGTTCTTATAAAATACGGACGATCTTTTGAATTTTGTGTGCAGAAACGGCCATAACGTGTTACGCATTATTTGATGTATCTCCTCATCATCTACCGTTTGATCCATCTGCTTTTTGTACAATTTTTCCTATTGTAGTCATTATAACATTTATTCGTTGAAATTATAATTTTTTCGTTGTCACTGTGCGTTCCTCCCGTTTTCGTTTTGAATTCTTCTTATTTGAAGCCTCATTCAATGAAATTTGTGCTGCAAAAAGATAAATAATTTATATATAATATAATTTAAAAAATGTTTACATATGAATAATATTTTGCCAATGTGATTATTTTAATATTTGAAATTCCTTTTCAATTTCAATGAATACCTCGAATAATAGGTATAATGTAAAGCGAACTTTCAGTGATTGAAAGTGACGAACGCGAATACCTACTGAGCTTTCTTTGTCTGTTAAGCATAAAATTTTTTATGCTTAATTCCACCTATCAGTATGC